TTCATGGAATGCAGTATCAACTATTGTTATAACCTCCAATTCAGTTGCATGACAAAGGAATGTTTCCCTAGAATGCACGACGGATCAAAAAAAATCAGAAAATTATTGAAAAAAAATTTTTAATTTAATTTTTTTCCAAAAATTTTCTATTTTTTATTTAAAAATAAAACAATAAAAAAATTTTTTTCTAAATAAAAATAGAATATTTAGAATAAAATAGAATTTAAAAATAAAAAAAAAAAATTTGATCTATCGTGCATTATTAAAATTAATTTTTACTGTTTCAAATTGATGTATAAATATAGAGAGAGATTAGAATCATTTATTTTTCATTAAAGTAGATTATTATCCCCCCATTTCTCATCTTTTATTCAATCTCAATTTCCTCCTTTCTTAAATCCATCAAAATGTAATTTTTTCCCAAATTCCATCCATCTTTTTTGAAAAAAATAAATAAAAAAAATCAGTGTTTATCGTCAATCATCTTGTATAATTATAAGTAGGTCTTATTTCAATCACATATATAAATATCAGCACATTGATGCGATTTCATTTGGAAAATTATGATGAATTTAAGAATTAATTTTTCCACCCAAAAAAAATTATTTGTCTTAGAGCAAATATTTATTTGATTTAAAAATAAATTTTTATTTCAATCTCAAAATCAATTTTTATTTAATTTAAATAAAAAAAAATTTATTTACCCCAAATAAATAAGCTGAGACAAATATACGTTTATTTAACTCAAATATATATATATTATATTTGGTTCAAATAATTTCACTGAGCATAGTCACTTATTGCATCATTTTTGATGCAATTTAAAATTTAGTTTTGAATTCACACAATGAAAAAAAAATTTATTTGATTCAAATAATTGGTTACTTGACTATTTATCAAATAAAAGATTTATTTGAACCAAATAATTTCTATTTGAGTCAATTAAATGTTATTTTTTTAAATACATAAATTATTGATTCAACTACAGTTTATTTAATTCAAATAAAAATTACCACTTGGAAAGATTCCCCGGAAAGTGCCCACTGGAGGTTCTATCAGAATTCCGCCGGAACTACCAACGTAATTCCATCGGAATTCCATCAGATTTCCAAAGAATTTCCGATAAGATTCCGACGGAGTTCCGAATAATTTTTTTCAAAATTTTTAGAGTTCTAATTCCGTCGGAATTCCGTCGGAATCCAATGGGAATTTCTTTGGAACTCTGATGGAATTCCGACGGAATTACGTTGGAAGTTCCGGCGGAATTCCAAAGAAATTCCGATTGGATTCCGACGGAATTCTTACGGAATTCCGACGGAATTAGGACTCTAAAAATTTTGAAAAAAATTATTCGGAACTCCGTCCAAATCCCATCGGAAATTCTTTGGAACTCCGATGGAATTCCGACGGAATTACGTTGGAAGTTCCGGCGGAATTCTGATAGAACCTCCGGGGAATCTTTCCAAGTGGGTTTATTTAGTTCAAGTAAATATTTATTTGATAATAGTCAAGTAATCGAATATTTGAATCAAATAAATTTTTTTTTCACTGCACTAATTAGAAAAAAAAAATATTTTATTATTAATTTTTAAACATTAAAAAAAAACAAAAACAATGTTTTTGAAAAATCTCTTTTTCCTTGTCCTCGCATCAAAGTGCTATAAAAAAAACACGTTATAGTTATGAAATTTGTAATTTTTGTCCCCCATATTGAGTGTATTTAATTATTATTAATTGTATATTGTATGTTAGAGCCAAGATTTTTGTGTTCTTGTTTTTTTCTCGGCAGTTGGATACACAATGCGCGATATTCGGTACAAATGGAACTCTGGCCTACAATCGGTAGGAATCTCAAACGAAGTGGAACTACCGCAGTTTCGCGTGCTCGGGCACAGGCAACGACAGACAACCATAAACCTATCTACAGGTAGATATCCCAATATTCATCATCCTTTTTCTCCGAATTTGTCTTTTAACAAAAGTCATTTCGAGAAATGCACACACAAAAAAAAATATATATTAGAAATACACTCTTTTTCATGGTTTCGCAAATTCTTCCTCACAATAACCTATTTACACACACACACACAATTCAAATTATAAATTTCTGGAATAAAAAAAATATTCTAAATTTTAAGAAAAAATATTCTTAAATTGAGAATAAATTTTTTTCTTCATTAATAAATTTTTCAATGACAAGGACGAATAACTGTTACATTGAACGAAAAATTTGAGAGAAAATTTGAAAAAAAAAAAAAAAAATTGTCGACAAATCTTTCTTTTTTCACGTTTTATATTACTTTGATAAGAAAATTCTTCGCCGCACAATTGCACTGGAAGACATATATATTCATGAGATTGTGATACATGCCCTTACATGTGCTTTAGGAAAGTAAAGATTTCACTCGTTCTGCATCAGTCTCTCTCTCTCTCTCTCTCTCTCTCTCTCTCTCTCTCTCTCTCTCTCTTTCTCTCTCTCAAACTACTCTCATTCACTTGAGCTGTACGTGTGCCACTTGAGGAAATCCTGCACCCAAGGGAATTCACCTAAACAAGACCCTTTCTCTCTCATGAAGAGAATATACCTATATATATATAGACGACGTATCACACATCGAGTATATATGAAAGAGAGCTTAACGCTATTGCAAGTACGTGCGTTTCTCCATTTTCAGAATAGTTAAGAACTAGAGTGACTCGGGACACGAAACCAAATTCCTGAAAATACTTGCATAATTCACAAATCGATCGAGAAAAGAGAGACACAAATTCCCCGTGAAATTGTTTCTCGATGGCAAAAAAAAAGGGGGGGGGGAGGAATTCTACTTTTTTTATTTCTAAAAAAAGTGTACGATATACTTTCAATTATATATTCAATTAAAAATTAGAATAGTAAAATTTGTTTCAACTTATTGCAAGAAAAAAAAAATTTTATTTTATACAAATAATATTCAAGTACATAAATATTTACTTGAAGGAAATAAATATTTACTTGTACCAAATAAATATTAGTTCATATTTACTTGTACCAAATAAATATTTACTGGTACCAACTAAATATTTACTGGTACCAACTAAATATTTACTTGTACCAAATAAATATTAGTTCATATTTACTTGTACCAAATAAATATTAGTTCATATTTACTTGTACCAAATAAATATTTACTGGTACCAAATAAATATCAGTTTATATTTACTTGTACCTAATAAATATTTACTTGTACCAAATAAATATTTACTTATACCAAATAAATATTTACTGGTACCAAATAAATATCAGTTCATATTTACTTGTACCTAATAAATATTTACTTGCACCAAATAAATATTTACTTGTACCAAATAAATATTTACTTGTACCAAATAAATATTTACTTGTACCAAATAAATATTAGTTCATATTTACTTGTACCAAATAAATATTTACTGGTACCAAATAAATATCAGTTTATATTTACTTGTACCTAATAAATATTTACTTGTACCAAATAAATATTTACTTATACCAAATAAATATTTACTGGTACCAAATAAATATCAGTTCATATTTACTTGTACCTAATAAATATTTACTTGCACCAAATAAATATTTACTTGTACCAAATAAATATTTACTTGTACCAAATAAATATTTACTTGTACCAAATAAATATTAGTTCATATTTACTTGTACCAAATAAATATTTACTGGTACCAAATAAATATCAGTTTATATTTACTTGTACCTAATAAATATTTACTTGTACCAATTAAATATTTATTGGTACCAAATAAATATCAGTTTATATTTACTTGTACCTAATAAATATTTACTTGTACCAAATAAATATTAGTTCATATTTACTTGTACCAAATAAATATTAGTTCATATTTACTTGTACCAAATAAATATTTACTGGTACCAAATAAATATCAGTTTATATTTACTTGCACCAAATAAATATTTACTTGTACCAATTAAATATTTATTGGTACCAAATAAATATCAGTTTATATTTACTTGTACCTAATAAATATTTACTTGTACCGAATAAATATTATATTGAAGGAAATATTAACTCGTACCAAATAAATATTAGTTCATATTTACTTGTACCAAATAAATAATAGATTGAAGCAAATATTTACATGTACCAAATAAATATCATTTCATATTTACATGTACCAAATAAATATTTACTGGTAGTGCTTGCAAAAAGAAAAGTATAATAATATTTCAGAACATAAATACAAATTCTGATAAGATTTTGTGAAATACTAGAGAGAAAAGTATAGATATATATATATATACAATGAAGTCTCTTTCGCTTTATCCCCACATACGCTAATGCCTCGCTTCTGAATAATACCGCGGAGGATAAGAAAAACACGATAAACTCCCACGAATGTTATCTTATCCAGTTTCTAAACCAACAAAAGATCCTACGCTCTTTGTTTATGCACAGTCTTAACGACTATGTATAAGCAATGTTTGATCTTTTTCCATATACCTATAGTTATTACCTTAAGAACATGCTTTCACGAGGAACATTAAATAGTTTCATTAAAGTTACCCCAGATAAATTATTATAATTATTTCATAATAAAAAAAATTCTAAATAAAAGACAAAAAATTTTCTAAAGTAAAGTTAAAGTTTGTCGAAATATTTCTAAAATAAATTATAATTGGTCAAAAATAGTAGAAAAATTTCTCGATCAATTGTAACAGAGACGAAAAAATCAATGACGAACGAAAAAACATTTACACTATATAAAAAACACTTTCCTTCCTTTCTATTCTTTTTCTCCTATTTTTCTTTTTTGGCTCAACGCTCGAAAATTTGGTAAAAAAAAAAAAAAATACACAATATACGAAAACATGAAAAAAAAAATATAAAACCGGAATTAGTTGAAAAAAAAATGGTTAAGGTAAGTGTGGAGGCCCCCTTGGAGTCTGCGCAAGTTTGCGGGTTCCGCAAGGTACGTACCAACCGCAAGGGGGGTCTCTTTATTTTCAGTCGGATACACCATGACGGACATCCGGTACAAGTGGAACGAAGGAATGCACAGCGTTGGCGTCAGCAACGAAGTCTCCCTACCTCAATTCAAGGTCCTTGGTCACCGACAGCGGGCCATGGAGATTAGTTTAACCACGGGTAACGTATGTTTTTCAATGTAAGATCAGAAAACAAAAACAACCTGGTTCACCATCGATTATTATATTTAAAAACAAAATTGGGACACTTTTTTTTTCGAAAAATATTTTCCAAAATGTAACAAATTTTCCCACTCTCAAGCAAAAAAATTAGGGATTTTTGGAAAAAAAAACTAAAAACAGCTAAAGAAATAGATAAAATCGGTTGTTTTAGAAAAAAAAGTTTAAAATCATCCTCGAACATTATTGAAGACTAATAATGTGACAATGACTCCATAGCTTTAAAAAAAATTCCGAAAAACCAATTCCTATGTCAATGAAATTAAAATACTTAATTTTTTTCGATATCCCGGGTGCTATTTTTATTACAGCCGGCCCTGAATAAAAAGATTAATAATTTTCGACAATGGAAGAAAATTCTCAATTAATAAATTAATAATTTAATTTATTTAAGTTACTCTCAAGGGATTATTTGATTTTTATTTAGAAATCAGTAGTAAACGTCAGTTTTAGTCAGACAGAATATTGGAAAACTATTAAAACTAAGAAACTAGTAGTAAAAAATAATTTTAGTCAGACAGAACATTGAAAAATTATTTTAATTTACTAATCAGTAGTAATAGTCAAATTTAGTCAGACAGAATATTGAAAAAGTATTCTAATTTCGAAATCAATGTTAAAAAAAATTTAGTCAGACAGAACAGTAAAAAATTATTATAATTTACTAATCAGTAGTATTAGTCAGATTTAGTCAGACAAAATTGATATATAACAAATTTTTGCAACAAAGAGGAAAAAGAATATTGAAAAATTATTCAAACATTGAAATCAGTAGTAAAAAAATTTTTTTAGTCAAACAGAACATTGAAAAATTATTCTGATCTAATATTCAGTAGTAATAGTCAGATTAAGTCAGACAGAATTTGTATATGATGAATTTTGGCCTCAAACGAGAAAGAGAATATTCAAAAATTATTCCAATTTAGAAACTAGTAGTAAAAACCAATTTTAGTCAGACAGAGCATTGAAAAATTATTCTGATCCAATATTCAGTAGTAATAATCAAATTTAGTCAGACAGAATTTGTGTCTAATGAATTTTGGCTTCAAACGAGATAGAAAATATTTAAAAATTATTTTAATTTAAAAACTAGTAGTAAAAACCAATTTTAGACATGCAAAACATTGAAAAATTATTCTGATCCAATATTCAGTAGTAATAGTCAAATTTAGTCAGCCAGAATTTACATATAATGAATTTTTTCAAAAAATGAGACAGAATTTTGAAATAAAGTATTTAAATCTAGAAATTAGTAGTAAAAAAAAATTAAACTCACATTAATATGTAGAATATCATGTGTCCTTCAAAGATAAGACACTCATTGAGGATAGAATCTGCAAAAGAAAAATTATTCCAATTTAATAATAATCAGTAGTAATAGACAGATTTAGTCAGACAATTAATTTTCACAACAAAAAAGAGACATAATTTTCAATTTTATTTTCTAAACTGAAAAATTCTATACACAAAACGAGTTTCTAAACTAAATTTACCGACATTGATTCCTCGAATAACAGAGCGTAAGTCTAAATGCTGTTGACTCAATTGACTTAGTAACTCACTTTATTGAGATTGATTGTTCTCTAGAGCTTAAAAAGTTTAAAAACAATTGAAAATAACGCTCTTTTTCTCTCTCTCTTTCTCTCTCTATAATGTTTTTCGATTCTATGTCCACTTTCTTCTTAATGCGTTCTATTACATCAATTTTTTCTTTAAATTTTTTCTTTTAATTTTTCTATTTTTTCCCTATTTTTCTTTTTTTTCAACCGGCTATTATTAAATTCGTGAATGGTTCTTTTGCACACTTGTCTGAAAAGAGAAAGAGAGGAACTTTTCCAACAGTGTTTTTGTTTTATGACCTGTCGAGAACTCATATAACTGGAACAAAAGTTATATAAGATAAAATTCATGGACAAAAGTTCTTCCTAAAACTCGAAAGAGTGTCCTGTTTCTTCGTTTTTTTTGTGTAATTAAGAGAAAAGTAATTTTGAATCAAATTTGTCACTTCAAGTATATATTTAAAATAGGAATCTTGAAATTTTTTTTCGAGTAAATTAATCTTGTAATTAGATATAACGCGACAAGTTGATAATTAGAATTGCTCGTGATTAAAACAGCAAAAATTCTAAAGAAACAATTAGAAAACTGTTACAAAACTTAATAAGATTGTTTTTTTTTTTTTTTTTAGTATGATGATTTAAGTTTTCATTCGTAAAAAAGTACATTTGACCCTTTGCAAAGCTTTACTCGTTAATTAACACTGAAAGTCAAACAAAACTGCGAAAAGAAGTTTCATTATTTTTCCTTTTCTTTGTTCTTGTTATTTGTCTTCATTGCCATTTTTACTTGAATTATACAGTAATTTAATGATTATTATATATATTAGTGTTTTAAATTAATTTAAAACGAATTTTCATTTTTCGAATTAGTATTTCACAGAAATTCCAATTAACACAATTTTAATTTGTCCAAATTTTAATTTATCCGAATTTTAATTTGTACGAATTTTTATTTGCCCGAATTTTAATTTATCCGAATTTGAATTTACACGAATTTTAATTTGCCCGAATTTTAATTTATCCGAATTTTTATTTGCCCGAATTTTAATTTATCCGAATTTGAATGTACACGAATTTTAATTTATCCGAATTTTTATTTGCCCGAATTTTAATTTATCCGATTTTTAATTTACCCGAATTTTTATTTGCCCGAATTTTAATTTATCCGAATTTTTATTTTCACGAATGTTAAATTATCCGAATTTTTAAGACGCCGAATTTTAATTTGCCCGATTTTTAATTTATCCGAATTTTTGAGACGCCGAATTTTTATTTTCCCGAATTTTAAATTATCCGAATTTTTATTTTCACGAATGTTAAATTATCCGAATTTTTAAGACGCCGAATTTTTATTTTCCAGAATTTTAAATTATCCGAATTTTTAAGACGCTGAATTTTAATTTATCCGAATTTTTAAGACGCCGAATTTTAAATTGACCGATTTTTAATTTATCCGAATTTTTGAGACGCCGAATTTTAAATTATCCGAATTTTTAAGATGCCGAATTTTAATTTGCCCGATTTTTAATTTTTCCGAATTTTAATTTATCCGAATTTTAATTTACCCGAATTTTTGAGACGCCGAATTTTAATTTGCCCGAATTTTAATTTACCCTAATTTTTGAGACGCCGAATTTTAATTTATTCGAATATTTATTTGCCCGAATTTTAATTTATCCGAATTTTTATTTTCCCGAGTTTTAAATTATCCGAATTTTTATTTACCCGAAATTAAAAATGACCGAAAAAACAATCGATTTCGTGCCCTATTTTTATAATTGACCAATCACGATTTTTTCGATAATTTCTAATTGAATTTCAAAAATTGCGAATCAGAAATTTTTCAATCGATTGTTTTTTCGACCACGTGTAATTTCGGACAAATAAAAATTCAGCGTCTCAAAAAATGTCTATCAATTAAAAATTCCTACAAATTAAAATTCTGCACCCCAAAAATGAGACCAAAAAAAAGATGATTTATTTAGTTATCTATGAAAAGAGATGTACAAATTATTCTCTTTTTCAAGGATCATGGATATTAGAAATCAAGAGAGAGAGATTCCTGTGAATATCGATAGTTTATAGGAAATGAAAATCAAGAGGGTAGAAGGCATTTCATATCATCCATTATTATAACAGACGCACCGGCGATTCGATTCCATTTCTCAAACTTATCTATTACGAATCTAGGCGAGGGTGAATCATCTCGATTTTCCCTGAATTGACTCCTAAAAGGCAACTCGATATTTGCAACCAACAGAGAATGGGATCCCAGTCGTTGCTATGCAGAGTGTTACCCGTTTTCTCTCTTCCTCATATATATATATATATATATACCCAAACCACCTCATTGATTCTAGTATAGACGAAGCCTCCTGTCATTAGTTAGTCAGTTACTACATTGAATAGACCATGAACAATAGGGAAATCACTTTAGTTCGCATATACAATGACAGACCTATAAAATAGATTAAAAATCCCAATTTCGAAAACAAGCCGCAAAAAGATTATTAAATATTTTTAATAAAGACGAAACAAAATTTATTGTTGTAACAATTCCAATTGTATAACAAACAAATTTTAAAATCTACAAAGAAAATAGTGTTTCCAACAGGGCGCAAATAATCTGGTTTTTTTCACAAAAGATTTTCGCGAGCGTCTAAAATTTTGTTTTGTTCACAAATCTAATATCTGTATTTACCAAAATCTGTTTTGTGGCGACTACAACTGCGGTTTGTAGATAACAAATAAAATCCTGTACAGTAAGAAAAAATATGCTATTGAATCAACAGAATTTTTGCTAATGGCATAAAAATTATTGATTCTGAAGCATATGCTACAGAATTTGTAAAATTTTATATAAGATTCTATAGCATATATGATTTTGAATCAATGATTTTTATGCCTTTAGCAGAAATACCGCTGATTCAATAGCATATTTTTCTCAGTGTAAACAACCCAAAAAGAAAATTTCCGCATTGTATTAACAATTGTATTATTTTCACTCCAACACAAAATTTTGCAGTCCATATCAGAACACGCATAAACAGATTCAACTAAATAATTTTTCTATTTCTAATTTGTGAATATTTCTCTCGTTGCATTTTTTTCGAAAATCCTTCTCGGAATTTCAATCGGAGCATGGAATTGGCTCAGTTCCGCCAATTAGCCACTCGGAACGGTGATTTAAACCGAGCTTAACTTCTGGCCCTAATTTGGCATCGGACCACCACGGCTGTGCTATGTTAACTTTAATCAATTGCTGCATTAAATCCTTATGCGCTCCCAGGGAGCATGAACTATGAGGAAATCATAAACGGCAGTGGTTTTAGAAACATCTACACACATACATACATATATATATTTAGCGGTCATCCATATT